AAGGCCCTTCCCAAGACCGTGCCAAAAAGGCCCCTTTTCTACCCCGAGACCTAGTATTCCATGGATTTTGCTGCCATCTCATGTCCTATCCCAGCCACTCTGGTGGTTGTTTACTTCATCTGGTGACTGTCATCCTCTTCATCACTTTGTCCTCTAAAGGAACTCTCCGTGTTGGCAGCTTTTGACACGTGCTCAGTCTACAGATGCTTAGCTAAGTGATCTGTAGGGACAAAATGGTAACATCTCCCCATTCAGCAGCCAGGTCTCTTGATCCCCCCTTGGTCTTGAGTTACATGGGAATGGGGCAAAGCTGGCAGTGGGGAGATTCAGACTGGCCGTGAGGAAGAAGTTCTTCCCCAGGAGAGTGGGGAGAGCCTGGGATGGGTTGCCCAGGGAGGGGGTTGAGGCCCCATCCCTGGGGGTCTTGAAGGCCAGGCTGGAGGAGGCTCTGGGCAGCCTGATCTAGTGGGAGGTGTCCCTGCTCATGGCAGGGGGGTTGGAACTGGGGGATCCTTGGGGTCCCTTCCAGCCCTGACAGATTCTGATCTGTTTTAGCAGAGGACTTTAGAGCCCTAATGGCTCAATGGTTGGACTTGATGATCTTGGAGCTCTCTTCCAACCTAAAGGATTCTGTGATTCTACATCTGGCATAGGTCTAGCAGCCAGCCCTGACCCTAAACCTTGGAACCTAAATCAGAAGAGCTCTGAGCTGGGCACTCCTTTTGGGTGGACCCTGGGGGAATGCAGCAGCTCCTTCAGCCTGGAGGAGACCCCAGGGCCATTTTTGGCCTTGTTTTGCTTTTCCCAGATAGTTCTTACCCCTGGTCTCACCCCAGCACAACCCTGATGCAGGATGGTGGTGATCTGAGAGTGCTGGGGAGCTGCAGGCAGAGCCCCCCTTCAGCCTGAGCTTCTCCAGACAAGCTTCTCTCCTGTCTCATTAAAAAGGAGAAGACAGTTGTTGGACAAGGGCAGCTCCAGCTGAGCCTTCCCAGAGAAGACAAAACCCTTGAAGTGGCAGTGCTGTGCCCGTGGTCAGGAGCACAGGGCAGTGGGGATGTGAACTGCAGGCACAGGGCTCGTGCCCTGCTGCTGGCACCACAGGGCAGGGCAAGGTCACCTGCATGGAGCCACAGGCTCACAGACTGGGCTGGGCTGGAGAAGACCTTCAGAGGTCACCCAGACCACCCTCCCCTGGCCCTGAGCAGGGACACCTGCAGCTAGAGCAGCCTGCTCAGAGCCCCTGGAAGGGTTCCAGGGATGGGGCACCTGCAGCTCCTCTGGGAAGGGTGTTCCAGTGGCTCGCCACACACTCGTGTGCAGCCCAGTGTGCAGGGGACACACAGCCCCTCACAGAGGGTGGGGGCACCAGCACCTGCTCCCCAGGCTTTCCTGCAGTCAGACCCTGCACTTTGGTTCCAGCCAGCAGCACTAGATGCTGACATCCCAATGGGATTGCAGGAGAAACAAAGCTTTGCCCACAGCTGCTTCAGTTGTAAAAACTCCAATCCAGACAGAGGTTCATATTCCAAACAAAAATTCAGATTCAAAAATTCAAAATTCAGGTGAGAGTCTAGAATTTCTGTCAGCCCAAAAATGAACCACCAGGATGGAGAAAGTGGGTTCAGATGCAGCACCACTGGAGGGACACCACCATAGCATGTCCAGGGGTGCCAGAAGCTGCTTTAGCACATGCCAGTCAGTGTCTTCCACACAAGCAGAAGGCAAACTGAAGGCAGCATCTATTTCAGATAGTAAACAAGTCATTACACAATTAACCAACAGCCAAAAAGCTTTATTCATTATAGTTGTGCAGTTTATTTAAACAGGACAAAACCTTGCACAGTTTTTTAACGGTATAACAGAAATTAAAAGAGCCAAAATATGTTTTTTCCCCCATATATTTAACTTTTTGCTTTGTTCTTGGAAGCAACTTATTTTTTAGGAGTTCCACTTCAGCAGTACATACACTCCTGTTGCTGCCAAGAGAGCACACTGCAAAAGAAAAGAGAGAGTAAAGAGTGATTGTAGATTCCCTTCACAGAAGCTCTGCAATGATCACTTGCTCAAAGCACAGCCTCTCTAACATCACACCTTCTAGGTGAGTACAGTCACAGAGCTGTGCTCCTGCAGAATTCCAGGAATATTTGAATGGGATCACACTCCCCAAACAGGCACCACAATTATATACACTTCACTTATGAATTGTTTTCCTATAAATTGTTTTCCAATTGTTACAAACACTAAGTTTTACTGGATAACAAGCTAAAATAAGGAAGAAAAACCAGCTCATTTCCATCAGGTACCAAGTCACAAATGCATCCTTACAACCTTTACTGGCTATTTTCTAGTTTCAAATTCAGGTATGCAAAATGTCTCTATCCATACCTTCAATTTTGGATATTCAATCACTATTATAGCTACCAGACCCACATATGGCAAACATCTGCAGTGGATAAAACAGAGAAATAGAAAATTAACCCTCAAATATTCCACAGAAATGTCTCAATATCACTTAGTCTTGAGTATTTTAGCCTAAAACAATCCTGTCACTAATGCACATCTGAAGGGGAAATACAATTTATTATTTTTTTTTCCTTAGATAACAATTTAATCGAGTTGTCTGACTAAAAATCTGAAGACATTTCATCTCAGCTGGGGAATGGGGTCAAGTTAAAAGCTCAAAGCTTGTATAAATTCCTGTGGAATGTGGAAATAATTTCTTAGGAATTTCTAGCAATTACAAGGATACGTTGGTTAATTCTGTACTTACTGGTGAATTATTTGTTAAATGTGCCATAAAAAAAAATCCCACTCTCCATATCACTGAGAGGTCTACAAAAAAACCCCAAAACTTTTCCAGGCAGCTTAATTATAAGTTTATTTAAGAAATTCTGAAAATAAGCCAGATCCAGTTTGTACCAACAGCAGAACTGACTTCAGCTCTAAATTTCCCTTTTATTTAAAGGAAACAACACAGAGATTTTCAGTGCTTACCCTCTCACTCTTCCAACAACATCTTTCCTCTCTAACCACTTCTGACCTTTGTACAAGCCTCTATCATCAGCTACATTATTATCACCTTTGGTCAAAAACTTGATGTTCCCGTTTTTTCTAGAAAGGAACGAGGTGATAAAGTAAATACCACTTAATAAAAAACTTCAATTAATATCTGCAGAGCATATAGTATCTTGGCATAGTTAACCCCCTTGGAACCTGAGCAACTGTGCTGAAGGACAGGAGTCAAGGTCTCCAGAAGTGTGCCACAGAATTGGGGACGAAAGCGAATCACATCCTAGGAGCAAGTTTGATCTGCCAGCAGATCCTCACTTGCCTTTTTCATTTTTATTTCAAATTAAAATGTAATTGAAAGCCATGAGGGAGGAAATGATACTTAGAAGCAAGGAAAACGCCAAGCTGCATTACTTTTCATGTATTTTGATCACTCTGTGAACTATTGGAATGTCTCTGTCTTCAACTTTAAAAGCAACTATTTCACCAGCTCTGAGTGGGTCATCCTGAAAATTTGTTAAGAACAAGAGGTCTCCTCTGTGAATAGCTGGTTCCATGCTGCCACTGTAAACACAAAGAGAGAGCTGATCAGCATTATGGTAAATGAACACACCATGAAAACAAAAATTCTTACAGATAAACTCACAATTTTAACAGGAATCCATAGCTTCACCCATCCAGTAACACTACAGAGACAACTCACACAGCCCAAACCTCAGGAAGTCCCGACCTGAGCCAACCCACAGATTTCCTTACTGCCTCAGTGAAAGAAAGAAGAAATAGGAAAAAAGTTTGATCACTCTGTGAACTATTGGAATGTCTCTGTCTTCAACTTTAAAAGCAACTATTTCACCAGCTCTGAGTGGGTCATCCTGAAAATTTGTTAAGAACAAGAGGTCTCCTCTGTGAATAGCTGGTTCCATGCTGCCACTGTAAACACAAAGAGAGAGCTGATCAGCATTATGGTAAATGAACACACCATGAAAACAAAGAGCATTTAATTCTTACAGATAAACTCACAATTTTAACAGGAATCCATAGCTTCACCCATCCAGTAACACTACAGAGACAACTCACACAGCCCAAACCTCAGGAAGTCCCGACCTGAGCCAACCCACAGATTTCCTTACTGCCTCAGTGAAAGAAAGAAGAAATAGGAAAAAAGTAACAAAAAAATGTTTCACAGTACAACAGAAACACTTCCCTACATAGATCCTAATTAACATAAGCAAGAGCTATGCTTACATCAGCAATTACTGATAACAATCAGAAAACTCATGCCTTTTTTTCCCAAGCTAGCCATAGTATCTTTTGGTTACAACCTTTACGGTAGGATTCCAGATCCTACACTAATAACAGACAATTCCCATTAAAACACTGTCATTTACTGCACACTTTCCTTGCTGACACCCAATTTCTGTGAGGCTGAACACTCCATGTTTTTCCTCATCTATCTGACCAGCATGCAGGAGCCTGCAGGGTTAGCTCTTCACACGTCTGGTGTCCACCACAAGTTAAGACACCATCGAGAGAGAAGCAACAAGAATAATTTACTCATAACAAAATAAATATACATATGTGGTTAAAAAAACCCCACCCAAATCCAAGCAAGAGTTTGAGTATTTCTGAGTAGATGTGATTTCAAACTCCTCATCTGTCCAAGAGGGAAGGGGAAGAGATAAAGGACAGGTCGATATTTGGCCTTCAACAAAAAGACTTACCTGAGCACCACAACAATGGGGCTTTTACAATCAGTGATGACCATCAGCCCCTTCCATATCATAAGGACAGACAACGGTGTCATAGCATGAGTTAAGACTTGCCAATACAGCTAGAGGAAACAAGAAAATGGTTTTTAAAAGTT